ACAAAAATGGCAGTATATATAACTATATATTTCAAAATATATTTTTTGCTACAACTAATAATAATCTAGTGATTACATTGTTTGTTATCGGCATGTCTCATTTCTCATAAAATATTTAAAATGTAATAAAAGAAAAGGACTATTTGTATATTTTTCATAGACGCATTACGTCTGGCTGGAGGATCAAATGGAAATGTGGGTCGTGTAGAAGTTTTCTACAATGGTACATGGGGAACGATCTGTGATGACCATTGGGATCTGAACGATGCTAATGTGGTCTGTCGTTCTCTGGGTCTACCAAGTGCTACAAGTGCGCCACACAGCGCATTCTTCGGCCAGGGAAGTGGTCCAATATGGCTGGATGATGTTAACTGTCAAGGAACTGAAACTTCTCCAAGTCAATGCTCACATGGTGGATGGGGAACACACAACTGTGGTCATGGAGAGGATGCGAGCGTTGTTTGCGGTTATCCCCAATGTAAATATTGTACTTGGTAATCTGTGTTTTTGTCGTCGTGCAGTGCAGTTTTTTCCGTAAAAAAAACATAATTCAAATTTCATCTTGTTTATCAAGGTCCACGGTGGAATACCAAATAGGATTTTCTTCCACCTTTGTTAATTTGTCTCGACATTCTTTTCCCGCTTTCCTCCTTCCATTTGAAGGAGTGTATACTATTAGGTCGCGATCGTTAAGCATTCAAACACAAAATAACTTTCCGAAGCTCAGAAGAGCTTATTAGTAAATCARGTCTTTTGACAATTATTTCTGGCGGCATATGCACTTAAACTAACGTGATTTCCTTCGAAACGATTTGATAAATTTTAATTATCGTCATATTATATTTTTACTGGAAATCATGCATGTAAATATTTCAATCACCCAGATACGTTACGCCTAGCTGGAGGATCAAATGCAAACGAAGGACGAGTAGAGATTTTCTACAATCAGCAGTGGGGGACGATTTGTGATGACGGCTGGGATCTTGATGATGCTGATGTTGTCTGTCGTTCTTTTGGTTTCACAAAAGCAATAAGCGCAGCGCACAGCGCAGCATATGGTCAGGGAAGTGGTCAAATATGGCTGGATAATGTTAATTGTCAAGGAACTGAATCTTCTCTGAGTCAATGTTCACATAATGGATGGGGAACACACAACTGTGGTCATAGTGAAGATGCTAGTGTTATTTGCAGTAAGTTACAACAATATGGTATTATTTTTTCCCTTAATTTCATTTGAATGCAAATATTAATAAATTGTAACCTATCCTTGAAGGAGGAATTATACTTGTGTATTCTGATAACGTAAATAATTTAAGAAAACGAGAAAATCTCGATCATATAATTATATGTATTGTGAATTTAATATAAAAAAGACAATGAACTATGCAACATCCTTATTTTAAATAACTCACGCACTGGCTTTCTTCCACAGCAAATTTACGCTTGGTTGGAGGATCAAACGACAATGAAGGTCGAGTAGAAATTTTTCRCAACGGTGAATGGGGAACAATATGTGATGACTACTGGGATCTCGACAACGCTAAAGTTGTTTGTAGATCTTTGCGTCTACCTAGTGCTACGAACGCACCACACCGCGCATTYTTYGGTCRGGGAAGTGATCGAATATGGTTGGATAATGTTAACTGTCAAGGARATGAAACTTCGTTGAGTCAATGCTCACATGGTGGATGGGGAACACACAACTGTGGTCATGGAGAGGATGCAAGTGTGATCTGTGGATTRCCTCGCTGTGAGTACCGGCATGTAATTGGAATGGTTCACACAAGCTATATTTTTAGACACAAAAATGGCAGGAAATTAGTATTCTTACAAATTCGTCCTTTCGCACCCCTAAAAGGCGAAAAATAAATAAAAAMGACACAATTTATGTTACAGTTCTAGATTTGTGAACTAATGAAAATAATATTTGAACTTATTGCAACTGTATATTTTGCTTCATCAAGGTGTAAGAATGTAGTGTAAAGTAGTATTTAAACATTATTTATTTGACGTCGATCAAACAGGAATTCGAAGTGATTCCGCAGTATCTCAAAGCCAGAAAAGCCATAACCAATTTGTTGGAGAGAGAGGGGGAGGGGGGAGACCGTAGAACCTGGAATGAATTCCCTAAACCCTATATAAAGAACAGGATTCTATGTGATTATAATCACACATTTTCCTAACTTCAATCTTTTATCATCTACAACAAAGAATTGCTTTTGGTATCAAAATATAGTCGTAGCAAAATATCACGACAATAAAGCTAATTTTCATTATTTAAAAATGAACAGCAACCTTACGTCTAGTTGGAGGAACAGACAGCCAAGAGGGTCGAGTTGAAGTTTTCTACAATGGTCAATGGGGAACGATCTGTGATGACAGCTGGGGTCTTAACGATGCCAAGGTTATTTGTCGTTCTCTTGGTCTACCAAATGCTACAAGTGCGCCACACAGTGCATTCTTTGGTCAAGGAAGTGATCCAATATGGCTGGATAATGTTAACTGTCAAGGAACTGAATCTTTATTGAGTCAATGTTCACATGGTGGATGGGGAACACACAACTGTGGTCATGGAGAGGATGCAAGTGTGATCTGTGGATTACCTCGCTGTGAGTATAAGCACTGAAAGATACTTTAGGATTTTAAACTAAAGAATAGTATATGGCCGAAATTGTGAATTCAAAATAAACTCAACTTGACTCCAGCAAGTCAGCCGGTGATATGGGAAAACAACACATAGCGGGTAGGGGTCGACCTCAGATGGCTTTTCAGTTGGTGGGACAATTATATGATATGCATGAGGACTGGATTAAAACGCTGGGCATGCATGCATAAACATGTTGGTAGATAAATGATAACAAAATATACATCTTTATTTAAGTGTTTAGTCGTTCTCGCGCTTTCACACTCATTAGGGAAACCTTTCAAACAGACTCACTATCGCTACATCAGTTCAATGTTTTATGCACACAACGCTCAACTAACGTTGATTTTTACGGAGGGAGGAATCCGAAGAACCCGGAGGAAATCCTTCGTAGCGTAGAAGAGAACAACACATCAAAAACACTCAATTCACATATGGTGTCTACAGGGCTCGAACAAAGACCCGAACCTTTGGGACCACAGTGATGAAAAACGACGAGTTAGCAGCGTATGCCACCCATGCTACCATGTGGACATCAATTTAACCAGTGCCTTTGCATATGCCCTCTCTGCCTCGAAAGGAAAAAAAATCGTAACTGCGAGAAATTTGAGTATTCCTAGTGAAGTATCCAGAAATCCCCTTTTTTGAGAGCTAGATACAACTAATGAACCTAACCACCATTAATATCAATATCGTGTTTAAAACTTTTCAAACTTGGTTATTTAACAATTTTTCAAATAAAATTGGAAAATTTCATTCCGATTGTTCTATTCTTTAGTACTTTGGCACACTCAGAAACGGTCTATTGGTAAACTGGTTTTGTCTTCTTTGTTACAGCATCCTTACGTCTAGCTGGAGGAACCGACAGCCAAGAGGGTCGCGTTGAAGTTTTCTACAATGGTCAATGGGGAACGATCTGTGATGACGCCTGGGATCTCAACGATGCTAAAGTGATCTGTCGTTCTCTGGGTCTACCAAGTGCTACTAGTGCCCCACACAGTGCATTCTTCGGTCAGGGAAATGGTCCAATATGGCTGGATGATGTTAACTGTCAAGGAAATGAAACTTCTCCAAGTCAATGTTCACATGGTGGCTGGGGAACACACAACTGTGGTCATGGAGAGGATGCAAGTGTGGTTTGTGGACATCCAACAAGTAAGTAAAGATAAAAGTAACAAGTTTTGACACGGGAAAACGTGTCAAATGTGCTGGGCATATTGGATACTTTGAATAGAGTAGAAGACTATTTGGGATTTAGTCATTGTAAGAAAGAAGAAAGTCCGTGGATTCGGTTTGACTAAAATAGAATATTTTGTAATGCTGATAGAAGAAATTTTTTTACGGTCAAATTGAACCAGCATAAACGAGTCTTGGTCGCAAACCCCAAAGCATGCCTCCGTCTCTCTGAGAACCAGTGTTATGGTGGCTCCATCGGCTCAAAAACACCACACAAAACACTGAACAGAGAATTCTACTTGCAGAAAAAGTTTGGTCTCGAAAATGTACCTCAGAATACCCTGCGAGCAGAGTCTCCTTTACCTTCCCCCGAGTGAGAGAAAGGAAAGAAGACTCTTTCCTTTCTCTCACTCGGGGGAAGGTAAAGGAGACTCTGCTCGCAGGGTAACCTCGGAATGGAAATATTACGAAAAACGTATCTCTTGTGTGAGTAATCTTTTTATATGGTAAATCTCGTGTGCAGTCATGGAGAGCGAACGTATTCCTCAAAACTGCCGAAACTTTGGTCTTTTGCTGCTGTTATACCTCCTTATTTGGCATAAATTCTTGATTTCTAAAAATTTAACCGAATATCCAGAATGGATTTCCTCATCATCTAGACCACATGTTACATCACGATTTGATTCGAAACTAGATGTTTTACACGAAGCTACAAAATGGCGGAGAAGTGTCACTACCAAAGTCAAAAGACTTTAAACGCCCACAGTTTACTACAGCAATTCAACGTCAACCTTCAGGCCAATTATTCAACTAATACATGATATTGAATTGAATCCTGGACCTGATCATCTGGTTTGTGACCTCAAGAAGAAATCGAATAGCAATTTAACAATTGCACACCTCAACGCTCGATCTTTGAAATGCAGAGATCATTTTGTCATTATGAAAGAAACAATCCTTGATAACAAGTTTGATGTATTTACTGTTTCCGAATCCTGGCTTGATAGCTCCGTAAATGACCTGGAGATTGAAGTTCCTGATTATAATCTTTATCGCGTCGATCGACAAAACAAGAAAGGTGGAGGGATCTGTGCACTGATATGTTTCAAGAAATTACAAGACTGAGGTACTTCGAGATATCTCCCACGTTGCCCCATCGGGGTTTCACCAACTCTGGCTAAAAGTTCAAGTCAGGAAAATAAAATCTATTGCGGTATGTACAACTTATAGACCTCCAGATACCCCTCTGTCTTGTTTGGATTTGGATTTAGCTACTAGCTTTACTTATGTTTCATCGCTTAACCTACCAATTTACATACTCGGGGACCTAAACTGCAATCTCCTGGATAGTAAAAGTCAGTCCTCTAAGGCTCTCTCAAGTTTCTACCGCTCCTTCAATTTATCACAGCTTATTACGACTCCGACCCGAGTCACAGCATCTTCAAGATCGCTGTTAGATGTTATTTTAGCATCTGACATAAAACCAGTTCAAAAGGCAAATGTTATGCATAGCTCTGTCAGTGATCATGACCTAGTTTATGTTATGCTACGACTCAAGAAGACGCGTTCCAAGCGTGTGTATGTCACCACAAGAAGTTTTAAGAATTATAAGCCTGATGCATTCTACAAAGACGTATCTTTAGCCCCTTGGTCTATTGTGGACATTTTCAATGAAGTCGATGATAAATTGCATGTATTTAATTCATTATTTCATAGTATACTTGAACAACATGCACCTATCAAAACCTTTAAAGTTCGCGGAAAGCCAAACCCGTGTGTGACCGATAACATTCGTGGATTAATGAAGACAAGGGACTATTGGCGCAAAAAGGCCTAAAAAGACCAACGACCCTCTAGCCTGGTCCGCCTATAAGAACTTTAAGCGCGAGGTGAAACACGAAATTAGATTTGCAGAGAAAGAGTTTGTAGCAGACCAAATCCAAAGTAATCCTAATGACTCGAATACTATCTGGAAAGCGATCCGTCTTTGTATACCAAAGAAATCATCGTCAAAGAGAACCTTTAGCAAAGACGACAAAACTGTTGCAGAAGAATTTAATCGTTTTTTCGTCTCTGTTGGCCCAAGTTCTGTTGTTAAAATTAAATCTATGGCCAATGACTTCAATTTCGATCTTAATGATGAAAGCTTTGTCCCAAAATAATACTCTTTGTCTGAACAGTTTACTCTCAAAACAATAGAATGTAAAGACATTGAAGCCATAGTACTGTCCATGCCTTCCAATAAGGCCCCTGGGATTGACAAAATCCCAGTTCGTTTCATCAAAGATTTTTTTTGTACCAATTCGACCTACAATCACATCTAATGCTAATGCTTCACTTAGCTCTTCTTCATTCCCATCTTGTTGGAAAACAGCTGAAGTAACACCCATACCGAAGGAAGGCGACCACGAACAAGCAAGCAACAACAGACCCATTTCACTTCTACCGGTTTTGTCTAAAGTTTGTGAAAGGGTCGTCCACAATCAGTTTTCGTCGTATTTAACTTCAAAAGCATTGTTATCAAAGAATCAAAGTGGGAATTAAGCGTGGCATTCGACTGAGACCTCTGTCATCAAAAGAACTGATGAAATTTTGAGCGCAATGGATAAAAAGAAATTATCTGCCATGAGCAAAGCCTTCGATAGTATCAGCCACAAGATCCTGCTGACGAAGTTACAAGATGTAGGGGCTTCTCATTCACTTATCCAGTGGTTTGGTAGTTACCTTAGTGAAAGACATCAAGTCGTTAGGATCAATTCAGCAGTCTCTGAGCCTCTCCCTTTGGTCAGCGGTGTTCCCCAAGGAAGCATTTTGGGCCCTCTTCTTTTCAGTATTTACACTAACGACCTCCCTTCTGTGTCTAAGAAATGCAACTCACAATGCTACGTAGATGATACGAAACTCCTCATATCTTTTCAAGTGCAAGACAAACAGTCCGCCATTTCTGACCTGAACGAAGACCTCCTTAACGTTAGGAACTGATGTTTTAACAACTACTTGCTCCTAAATCCAACCAAGCTCATGGTGTTTGGTAGTTGCCTAGATTACAGGACTTTACTGTATCTCTACTAGGAAAAGACCTTGTTCCTGTTCAAGAGGCCAAAGACTTGGGTGTGACTCTCGATCCTCATTTATCATACGACGAACATATCATCAATACTTTTTCTGCATGCATGTCTCGCCTTGGACAGATTAATCATGTTAAACATGCATTTGAAAAAAAGACTCTCTTAACTGTTATAAACACTCTAGTTTTCAGTAAATTATATTATTGTTCTAATGTTTGGGCAAATTCATCATTGCACAACCTCCAAAAATTGCAGGCCGTCCAAAACTTTGCATGTCGAATTGTATGCGGGGCTAGGAAATATGATCATATCACGCCTTTCTTAAAACAATTGAAATGGCTTCCAGTCGTCCGCCAATTATATTATCGTAGTGCTACCTTGGCGTTTAAATGTATGACCGGCAGTGCCCCAGAGTATCTTTCGTCGCAGTTTGTTAAACGCGCAGAAATAAGCAATCGCACTACTAGAAATTCGCAAAAACTGAATATTCCTCTCTTCAAGACGGCCAGTGGCCAAAGAACATTTTATTATAGAACAGTAAATCTCTGGAATTCTATC